AGGAGCCGAGTTTCCCCAGATTTGCTTTTCAGGGGGAAACATCAACACAATGATATTTGATCAGGACACATACAAAATTCTGTAGGGTTGTTCTTAATGTGCTTTCTACCACATAGTTAATCATTTGTCTCTGGTCAGCAGTTCAGCAACTTTTAATTAGAGTTCATGAATTCTTTTCTTTTGTAGTTTTCCTCATTTCTTAGTATGGCATCTTGTTGCAGAATATACGTTACCTGGGATCATGAGAGTACCTTTGGAGAAGGAAGAAGATGGAGAAACAGCTTGGCCGATTTCCAGGCGTTTATTTCTATCTCCGGAGTATAGGGTGTTCAGCAAAACCAGGGGCTTACACAACCTGAAGTCGCAATTGTCCAGTTTTTATAGCATGAAATTGCTAGTTTTACACATGTGCAGAACAAATCTGACATTTACACAATACAATCATTAACAGGAATTTTCATATATAGTTGCCAAGGACATCTGTCTTTGGCAAGCACGTTATGACCCCAAACATCTGCTCGGTTATATAACTTATCTCAACTTTCACCCATTATCCTAAGATGACACGTTCAATTGCTTTAATTCCTTTAACTTGAATTATAACTTTTATATGCTCATAACATAAGATTTGATCAAGGCAATGTCCTAAACAATCCAGCCTTAATTATTCTATTACAACTTATGTCTTAATATGAAGACCAAAGGAATTTGCTTAAAATAAAAGTGCTTCTGAAATTGCCTGCTATTTACATTAAGTGGTCAGAGGATGGCGCTCTCTCACCATATGACCTTAGATGTTCCAAGTCTTGGATCGATATATTGATTTCTGTGTCCTGCCAAATTCTCTTGTTGCTTCATATCTATTGTCAACATTGGCTAAAACAAACATGGCTTGACCCAAAGTCCAGGTCAATCAATATCTCATCTGCAGGTCTTTGCATGCTTGAAAATTTAACTCTCTCACGCTGCTCTTTTCAGAATTCAGGTAGGAACAAAATCTTATTTTTATTCTAAATTATGATTATTATTTTATTTTTTTCCTAACGCCTCTATAGGTCCCTCATGCCTCTATAGGTCCCAACCATATTCCTTTCATACAATTCCATTCCAAGCACACATCATATTTATCAATGACAAGTAAAACTGAATTGCCATGTTGCGGAAAGGATGCATATCTGCAAAGCGTGTCTTTGGAAAGATCTCGGGCCAATGTCTCTTAACGTCTTATTCTGTTGCAGGGAGGCGGAGGCAAAGGGAAGGGCAAGGGCAAGCGGAAAGGCAAGAAGGGCAAGAAGGGCAAGAAGGCCGCAGCCGAGGTGGACATCCTGAGTCCGGCCGCCATGCTCAACCTCTACTACATCGCCCACAACGCAGCCGCCGGCCTCGAATTCCGCGGCTTCCCCTGGCCGGACTCACCCAAAAGGAAGAAGGGCAAGAAGCGCAAGTAACGGGCAGGACGAGGAGGAGGAAGAAGACTTTCGGGGGGTAAACAAACAAACAAACAAATACAAACAACTTCGGGTTTCTCACTTTGCCAAAAATCAACGAGGGGGAGAAGATAGTGTTGTCGAGGAAGTAAAGGTTTGCATCTGAGGGAAAGGCTTCTTGCCTGACTTCGTGTTTCTCTTAGAAGTAATTCTTATAATTCCATCCTTGCGTTACATTAATTGATGGTGTTGTTTTGCTGGATGGCCATCTGTCAGGGGTGCTTTGAATGTGATATTCCAGCTTCTTGGCAAAATGGGGTTAGACAGGATGACCCACCAGATCTCTTCCAATTCTGTGATTCTGTTTAGGGTGCATCTACACCAGACAAGGGCCCACTTATATTGCCCTCCCTCCAGGTGTTTTGGACTTCCACAATTCCTAACAGCCTGTATTATATTATTTTTATTATTTTACTAGCCGTCCCTGCCATGACGTTGCTGTGGCCCACATGGGGATTCTGTGTGGGAAGTTTGGCCCAATTCTATCGTTGGTGGGGTTCAGAATGCTCTGTGATTGTAGGTGAACTATAAATCCCAGCAACTACAACTCCCAAATGTCAAGATTCTATTTTCCCCAAACTCCACCAGTGTTCACATTTGGGCATATTGAGTATTCATGTAGAGTTTGGTCCAGATCCATCATTGTTTGAGTCCACAGTGATCTCTGGATGTAGGTGAACTACAACTCCAAAACCAAAGGACACTGCCCACCAAACCCTTCCAGTATTTTCTGTTGGTCATGGGAGAACTGTGTGCAAGTTTGGTTCAATTCCATTGTTGTGGAGTTCAGAATGCTCTTTGATTGTAGGTGAACTATAAATCCCAGCAACTACAACTCCAAATGAAAAAAATTTTTTTTTGAGTGAAGGACATACATTGAGTTGTCAGGTGTCTTGTGTCCAAATTTGGTGTCAATTCGTCCAGTGGTTTTTGAGTTCTGTTCATCCCACAAACGAACATTACATTTCTATTTATATAGATGTATTTATTTATTTTTACTTTGGTGGAGAGGTGGCTGCCAAGGCAGCGGAAATGGTCAACATTTTCTAATGTGACACCATTAAGCTGTATTGCTGGCATTGGGGAGGGGGTGGCTGGTGACTGCTGGAAGAGCACTTTGGTTTTCTCGATGTTCAATGACAGGCCAAGCTTCTCGTATGCTTCTGCAAAGGTGTTTAGAGTGGCTTGTAGGTCTTCTTCTGGATGCACACAGACTACGTTATCATCGGCATATGGGAGTTCTATAACCTGTTATAGGTCTTATTCTGGATGCGCACAAACTACGTTATCATCAGCATATGGGAGTTCTATAACAGATGTTGTAGCTCTTCCTCTGAATGCGCACAGACAACATTGTCATCAGCATATGGGAGTTCTATAACAGATGTTGTAGGTCTTGGATGCGCACAGACTACGTTATCATCAGCCTATGGGAGTTCTATAACAGATGTTATAGGTCTTCTGGATGCGCACAGACTACGCTATCATCAGCATATGGGAGTTCTATAACAGATGCTGTAGGTCTTCTTCTGAATGTGCACAGATGACATTGTCATCAGCATATGGGAGTTCTATAACATGTTGTAGCTCTTCTTCTGAATGCGCACAGACGACATTGTCATCAGCATATGGGAGTTCTATAGCAGATGTTATAACTCTTCTGAATGCACACAGACAACATTGTCATCAGCATATGGGAGTTCTATAACAGATGTTGTAGGTCTTCTTCTGGATGCGCACAGACTATGTTATCATCAGCATATGGGAGGTCTATAATAGATGTTGTAGCTTTTCTTTTGAATGCGCACAGACGACATTGTCATCAGCATATGGGAGTTCTATAACAGATGTAGGTCTTCTGGATGCGCACAGACTACGTTATCATCAGCATATGGGAGTTCTATCACAGATGTTGGTCTTCTGAATGTGCACAGACGACATTGTCATCAGCATATGGGAGTTCTATAACAGATGCTGTAGGTCTTCTGAATGTGCACAGATGACATTGTCATCAGCATATGGGAGTTCTATAACAGATGCTGTAGGTCTTCTGAATGTGCACAGATGACATTGTCATCAGCATATGGGAGTTCTATAACAGATGCTGTAGGTCTTCTGAATGTGCACAGATGACATTGTCATCAGCATATGGGAGTTCTATAACAGATGTTGTAGGTCTTCTTCCGGATGTGCACAGACTACGTTATCATCAGCATATGGGAGTTCTATAACAGATGTTGTAGGTTTTCTTCTGAATGCGCAGAGACGACATTGTCATCAGTATATGGGAGTTCTAGAACAGATATTGTAGGTCTTCTGGATGCGCACAGACTACATTATCATCAGCATATGGGAGGTCTATAACAGATGTTGTAGGTCTTCTTCTGAATGCGCAATATCCTGCCTATTTCAAACCTTAATAGAATCCTTATTGCCCTTACCAACATGGCGCCCAATCTCTCGCCCATTTCAAACAATACAATCCCTATTGACCTTCCCAACATGGCGCCCGACCTCCCGCTTATCTAAAACCAGACTCCCTACTGACCTTCCCAACATGGCGCCCAACCTCCCCCTCATTAACCCATTAAAGAACTTATTTTCCTATTTCTCCTTTCGCCTCCTTAATCCTTATTTCGTTAATGAACGAATCTCCTTTCTATTTATTGATGTTTTGAAACTTTAAAGTGAATAAAGGGAAATAGTGGGTCTGGCCCTTCCCAAGATGGCGCCGCGGCGGGTCCCGTCACGCAGTGCGTGCTCCTTCCCAACATGGCGCCTCCTCGTTTGTATCCAATCCTTCCCAACATGTCGCCGAGGTAAAAGAAATACCCTTTGGGACCTTCCCAAGATGGCGCCTGAGTTAATCCCATTTATCACCTAAATATAATTTTAATCATTCTATTTCCCCTTCAGTGTCGTTAAGGAACGAACCCTGTTTCTATTTATTTATATGTGTATATTTTAAAGTGATTAAAAGAGAGGGAAATTGAAGGAAAAAGTTGGGACTGGTCCTTCCCAAGATGGCGCCTTGGCGGGTCCAGTCACGCCGTGCGTGCTCCTTCCCAACATGGCGCCTCCTCGTTTATAGCCGAGGTAAAAGAAGTATCCTTTGCGACCTTCCCAACATGGCACCTGAGTTAATCTCATTTATCACCTAAATATAATTTTAATCATTCTATTTGCAATTCAGTGTCGTTAAGGAGCGAATCCTGTTTCTGTTAGTTTATATTTGTATATTTTAAAGTGAATAAAAGAGAGGGAAAATGAGGGAAAAAATTGGGACCGGTCCTTCTCAAGATGGCGACTCGACGCATCCCGTGACGCCGTGCGTGCTCCCTCCCTCCCCCCCCCCGCCTACTGCCGCGACTGGCTTTGCCTCCCGCCTCAGAAAGCCAGGCCCGTGTTTGCCTGTGGTAGTAGTAGTGTATGGAGAAGAGTAGGCCCAAATTGAGGCCTGCTGTCTTTTCTGGCCGCTTTCCGGGCGGAGGAGCGGGCCTCGCGGGGCTCGCGTAGCGGAGAGGCCGAAGGGAGTCTGCGCGGTCCCGGCCTGCCTTCCTGGCTGTGTCCCTGCCTGGCCTCCACGGCGCAGGCCCGCGGCAGCGCAGCCGCTCTGAGGTGAGTGCCCTACCGCGCAACCGCCTCCTCGCAGGCTCGCCTCACGCAGCCGCAGCAACGACGCCGGGCTCCCTGCCCCCTCCCCCACTTCCCCTCCCGCGCACCCCGCCGCCGCACACACGACACGCCGGCGCCTCCTCGGCCCCGCTAGGCCGCGATGGAACCCAGCCCGGGAAGGAGGGAAAGAGGGAAGGCAGTCAGGCAGGGCCAGGCCGCCATCACCAGCCTCAGCTCTTGCTCTCCTTCAGCGCCAGAACATGGCGGCCGTCAGCCGGGAAGGCCCTCATTCTCGCTCCTCATTACTCCTCATTCTAAAGACAATCCAATGACATCCCGCGCCTGGGAGGGTCTCAGCCCATCCCCATGTTTATCGTTATTTTCTACATGTAATATATTTTATTATTGTATTGTTATTTTAATAGATGGCAATATTTGTTTGTTTGTTTGTTTACATTTATAAGCCGCCCTTCTCAACCCAAAGGGGACTCAGATAGGCATACTATCTATCTATCTATCTATCTATCTATCTATCTACACACACACACACACACACACACACACACACACACAATATATATTTTATTATTTTAATATTCTTTTAATAGACTACAATATTTATTTGTGTGTTTACATTTATATGCCGCCCTTCTCACCCCAAAGGGGACTCAGATAGGCATATTATATATATATATATATATATATATATATATATATATATTACTATATTGTACTATACCGTTATATTGCAATATTATTAGTAATATAACATCTATAATAATATTGTATTATACATACAATATATTTTATTATTGTAATATTTTTATTAGTAGTATTATATATTATTATATTGTACTATACCATTATTTTGCAATATTATTAGTAATATAACCTCTATAATAATATTGTATCATACATACAATATATTTTATTATTGTAATATTTTTATTAATAGTATTATATATTAGTATATTGTACTATATCATTATTTTGCAATATTATTAGTAATATAACCTCTATAATAATATTGTATCATACATACAATATATTTTATTATTGTAATATTTTTATTAATAGTATTATATATTAGTATATTGTACTATATCATTATTTTGCAATATTATTAGTAATATAACCTCTATAATAATATTGTATCATACATACAATATATTTTATTATTGTAATATTTTTATTAATAGTATTATATATTATTATATTGTACTATCCCATTATTTTGCAATATTATTAGTAATATAACCTCTATAATAATATTGTATCATACATACAATATATTTTATTATTGTAATATTTTTATTAGTAGTATTATATATTACTATATTGTACTATACCATTATTTTGCAATATTATTAGTAATATAACCTCTATAATAATATTGTATCATACATACAATATATTTTATTATTGTAATATTTTATTAATAGTATTATATATTAGTATATTGTACTATACCATTATAGGAGCTGGGGGTGGTGACGGCCGACAGGGAGCTCTGGCGTGGGCTGGTCCATGAGGTCACGAAGAGTCGGAAACGACTGAACGAATGAACAACAACATATTGTACTATATCATTATTTTGCAATATTATTAGTAATATAACATCTATAATAATATTGTATTATACATACAATATATTTTATTTTTGTAATATTTTTATTAGTAGTATTATATATTACTATATTGTACTATACCGTTATATTGCAATATTATTAGTAATATAACATCTATAATAATATTGTATCATACATACAATATATTTTATTATTGTAATATTTTTATTAGTAGTATTATATATTACTATATTGTACTATACCATTATTTTGCAATATTATTAGTAATATAACCTCTATAATAATATTGTATCATACATACAATATATTTTATTATTGTAATATTTTTATTAATAGTATTATATATTAGTATATTGTACTATATCATTATTTTGCAATATTATTAGTAATATAAAATCTATAATTATAATATTGTATTATTAGTTATATATATATATATATATACACACACACACAATATATATTTTATTATTAGAATTATATATTACTATATTGTACTATACCATTATTTTGCAATATTATTAGTAATATAACCTCTATAATAATATTGTATCATACAATATATTTTAATATATATATACACACACACATACAATATTAGTATATTGTACTATACCATGATATTGCAATATTATTAGTAATATAACATCTATAATAATATTGTATCATACATACAATATATTTTATTATTGTAATATTTTTTATTAGCATTATATATTACTATATTGTACTACACCATTATATTGTAATATGATTAGTAATATAAATATATATAATTATAATATTTCATCATACATACAATATATTTTATTATTGTAAGATTATTATAAGAATATTAATATAATATTACAATATTATTAATATAAAATGTGTAATTATAATATTGTGCATACAATGTATTTTATTATTGGCATAGCACAATATCAGTATTATATATTACTATATTGTACTATACCATTCTATTATAATATTAGTAATATAAAATATGTAATTATATTGTATCATACATACAATATGTTTTATTATTAGCATATATTAGTATATTGTACTATACCATTATATTGCAACATTATTAGTAATATAAAAATATATTAGTAATATAAATTGTATTGTCTTTGACAATACATAAAATATATAGTTATATTGTATCATACACACCATATATTTTATTATTGTATTATTATTATTATTGTAATATTAATATAAAATGTGTAATTATAATAGTATTATACATACAATATATTTTATTATTAGCATTATATATTAGTATATTGTACTGTATGAGTCGCCTAAGTGCTGAGAAGAGTGGTATACAAATGAAGTAAATAAATAATAAATAAATATATCATTATATTTCAATATTATTAGTAATACAACATCTATAATTATAATATTGTATCATACATACAGTATATTTTATTATTGTAATATTATAATATTATTTTAATATTAATATAAAACGTGTAATTATAATATTGTATTACCCTTACAATGTATTTTATTAGCATAACACAGTATCAGTATTATATATTATATTGTACTATACCATTATATTGTAATATTATTATAGCACAGTATCAGTATTATATGTTACTACATTGTACTATACCATTATATTACAATATTATTAGTAATATAAAATATATAATTATAATATAGTATCATACATACAATACATTTTATTATTAGCATGATATATTACTATGTTATATTATACCATTATATTGTAATAGTATATATTTTATTATTGTAAAATTATTATTATTATTAATATAATATTATTGTAATATTATTAATATAAAATGTGTAATTATAATATTGTATTATACGTACAATATATTTTACTATTAGCATAGCACAATATCAGTATTATATATTACTATATTACTATATATCAGCGCCCCTCCCCCAGCACCAACGGCCACTCTGGGGCCCGAATTGTTTTTATACTATGTCTTGAATTTTGTTGTTCCTATGTTGTACACCGCTGTGAGTCGCCCCTGGGCTGAGAACAGCGGTATATAAGCAAAGTAAAATAAATAAATAAATATTCCTCATTCATAGAATCTTAGAATAATTGAGTTGGAAGAGAAGGGAATCCAATGACATGAAATGGAAATATTTTAGCAGATTGGAAGACTTATTATATTGTTATTTGTTAAAGTAATAATAATAGGTGGTCATCAGGAATATTTCTCCTGATGACTGTCTTGTTATTATTACTTTAATCCAATGACATCAAGGGCCTGGAAATGTTTTAGTGGATTGAAATATATTATTATTATTATTATTACTTTAATGGTTTACAATATAATAATAATAATAATAATAATAATAATAATAATAATAATAATAGGTGCAGTGCCTAAAGACCTTGGCCTGCACTTAAACACAATTGGCACTGACAAAATTACCATCTGTCAGCTGCAAAAGGACACCCTAATAGGATCTGCACATATTATTCGCCGATACAGCACACTTGGGAGGTATTCAGTGTGGGATCCAATACAACAGCCAGCACAGTGATCTTGCTTGCTGTATACTAATCTTACTGTGTTTCAAATAATAATAATAATCATCATCATCATCATCATCATCATCATAAGGTGGTCGTCAGGAGATATGATCTTTATTCATAGAATCATTGATTTGGAAGAGAAGGGAATGCAGTGACATCAAGGCCCTGGAAATGTTTCAGCGGATTGCAATATTATTATTATTACTTGAATGGATTACGATATATTAATATTATTATTATTAGTAATAATAATAATAACAATAAGGCGGTCATCAGGAGATTCCTCATTCATAGAATCATTGAGTTGGAAGAGAAGGGAATAGTAATAATAATAAATGTTTTTAGTGGATTGCAATATTATTGTTATTTTACTTGATTACAATATATTATTATTAATAATAATAATAATATGGTGGTTGTCTGAAGGAATATTCCTCATGCTAAAGGGAGTCAATGACGTCAAGAGACTGGAAATGTTTTAGCGGATTACAGTATTTATTATTTCAGTGGATTAGATTATTAGTTATTATTATTATTATTGTAGTATTAATATGGGCTGTATGACCATGTTCCAGAAGCATTATCTCCTGACGTTTTGCCTGCATCTATGCCAGGCATCCTCAGAGGTTGTGAGGTCCAAAGTCTGAGGCAAGGTGATTCAGTGCTAATCAAGGTGGCCACTTGCAACATTCCCTCTTGCCTCCAACAGACAAGAGTTCTTTCTCCCACTCTGGACATTCCACAGATGTATAAACCCCACTTGTCTAGTTTCCAACTGACCTCACAACCTCTAAGATCTGTGTCTGTGAAACATCAGGAGAGAATGCTTCTGGGACATGGCCAACAAATTAATAATAATTTGTTTATGATCAATACTTTGTTTATTTGTATTATTA